ACAAGCGTCTCTGAGCCCTGGCAGTGTCTAAATGTCAGGCTCAGGGTGCAGAGCAATAAACAATGATCTGCACTTTCTCAGTGTCAGGGCAGCTAACAGAGGAGATGGGGGTCAGCAGACTTGGTTCCTCCAGTAAGGTTGCCATATGGCAACTTGGAGATCTTTGTTGGTGTTTGCTTACCAGGAAGATGCAGCTCCAGTTTCTCCAACCATGTTTTCTGCTAGCTGCACATCATCAGTACACGTCTTCTGTACTGCTTTAGAGCAAAATAAAAAAAACGAGCAGTCACAAAACAAAGCAGTATTGGGCAAAAGAGGGAAGATCCTGATAGGCACGTGCCATGCTTTATGTCATGTTCCGGGCAAAACCATACAATGTTAAACCAAAGGACAGAATGTTGATTAACTAATGTCAGTTCCTTCCAGCTGGAAGAGAAGAATGGCAATTCCTTATTTGTTCTGATCTCAAGCTTTTTGCAAAGTTTGGAAAAAATATCATCTCAAAGTGTGGTCTTGTGAGCCTTTCAGCTTGTAGAGGTCTCACAGGCAGAATGAGCTGCCTGTGGACCCAAAGGGAATGAATCAATTTCTGTATGTTTGTAATGGGATTTTCCTGAGATTATGATTTGGAGGATCATGAATATGAGTAATTATAGGATGATGTCTCTGAATATTGATTTTGAGTAAGCTTTGATGATTTAGGAACATATGCAAAGAAGGAAGGGAACCCAGTAACAAGGAAAAGAGTACAGTCAAGAGGGAAGTGATTGAACGGTAGAGAATATGATGCAACGCACATGTTAGACTTGGAGCTAACAGGACTGGATTCAAATCCTGGATGAACCACAAAATTTGCTTAATTGCCTTAAACAAGACATCATTTTTCATTCTTACTAGATTGTTTTGAGGACTGGAGGCTATAAAAATTTGGGCTTGAAAAATGTTTTATATAAAACAGCCAATAATTATAATAATAAATCAAGGTTTCTAGAATTGACACAAAGCCTGCAGACACTAACAGGCCTTGCCTCTGGAACATTATTTACTGGTTGGGAAATCACTTAGGCCAGTAAATTGAAGGCAGTTTTCACAACCTGTCACCCACTAGAGATGCTGGAACAAGTTCTAGAATTCTGGAAGTCACTGACTCAATATATCTTGAAGTCAACAGGCTGGAGAAGGCTAATCTAACCTAAGGCTTCACTAGAAAGTATCACATACGTTGTGTCTCTTATGTTCAACTTCATCTATTTTGCATACATATTTAATAATCAGTATAATCAATAGCTGGCACATGTTTCTTAAAATTGTCTTGAAATAGTTTTGATGCACAAAACAAATAGGTTAGCTGGATTTATAGGTCATTCTGTATAGCTGTTACTATATACTTCACATTCTTCACAGCTCACAATAAACTCCTGCATAAGGAAACTTAGCATTTTCCATAGGAAAACTATAGTTGCCCTTTATCAATAACTACATCCGTGCCCAAATTTCCTTATACATTCTTTTAATTGAATCTATTAAATCCAACTTTTTTAATCAAATGATATCAGAGTGACAGAGAAATACTTCCATATAAGATCAAATGGAAACTTACTAAATATTGATCTTTGCCAAAATGTGGCAGCAACCACCTGAAGTTAGACTGCTTTCCATCTTGTAGTCTAATGCCTGGTCAAAGAATGGAACCTGAATTCCAAAGCAAAACAAAACAGCTAATTGACATCCTTTTCAAATTTATTTACCTTCAAGCTAGAAGAAAGATACTCTCCTTTAATTCTCCAAAAATCTATTGCAAATTCATGGGGGGTGGGGGTGGGGGAAACGACACATAAGAAGATGCATCTTTTTTTTTTCCAATCCAGCAATAGCATGTAGTATGGCAACACTGGGGGTAATCTTCCTCCCTCTCCCCTTTTCTTTCTACGTGGCTGAAAGACGATTGTTCTTTAAAGTAATGCATAGGAAGAGGAAGAGCTGGAAATGAACAGCTGCAGTTAAGGAACACTGTAGGCCACAGGTACAGGTATGTCTGTGCTGGCCCTGATAACAACCCTGGAACCTCACTTTCTAACTGTTGGAGTTGTCCAGAGACTGAGGCAGACGGTACCAAACAGACTCCTCCGTGAGAGATAATTTCATTTCCCCAGATTCCACAGGCAAAGATTTTACTCTCCGAAGCCCATGCACCCACACCCCACACTTTCCCAGTCCATCCTAGAGAATTCCTGTAAAGCTATTGGATTAAGATTCAAAGATGAAGGCAGCAGGGGCAATGCTTTGATAGTGCTGTTTAGGACAACTGTGGAATGTTATGGGCTTTTTCCATAACTGTTTCTTCTCAAGATTGCTTGCAGCAGCATAATGATGCAACAGCTTAAACCAAAGCCCTCAGTTGCTCCAGGCAAGGACAGGTAGACAATTATGAAATGTTTGACCATAAATTGTGCTGCAGACATCTAGCATTCTGATGGCTGCATCTAAGCCAAAACAAAGATAGCCCACTGTATTGGAGTTTGGCTTCTTGGTTGTTCTTGTTATCTATTCTTTTAACTTCAGATGCGACATACTCCCTTTCTAAACTGAATGGCATATCAGGAAAGTAGAAAATGATTTAATATGCAGGCTGGCTGGGAATTCTGGGAATTGAAATCCAACATATCTGAATATCACCAGTGAGAGAAGGTTAGAAGGACCATAAATAAGTCCTTCTAATGCAATCCTGAGTTGAGGATTGAGATGCTTTAACTGCTTGCCTCATAAGTATTGGATCTTGCAGCCTAGGTCCAAAACTGCTAGCATTAATATATGTTTCTAGCACATAGTGACTGCATGCAAGCCATCCTTGGAAATGTGATTTGGTGAATCATTTGGAAACAGCCATTGATAATTGGATGTCTGTTAGCAATTAGTTCTGCCATAATGGTGGTAGTTTAGCAAAGAGAGCTGTGAGCCAGGAGACCTTTGGTCCGTATCTTTCTCCAGCCACGAATACACTTGTTGCCTAGGCAACCAAGTTTATCTTTGTCCTCAATCTACAATAGAAGGGAATAATAGTACTGATCTTCCTTACAGCCTCTGCTGTTAAGATGAATGAAATTATATATACATATAATACTTAAAATGCAAGTTCATCCTAAAGTCTTATTCAGTTTCTAATTGACATTGTAGCACTGCACCAAAACCACTGCAGAGAATGCCCTCAAAATAACCATGATGAATGAGAACCATGCCAACATGAAGCCATGCTTTTAATCCAATTCAGAGTTTTATAAAATCTGTCACTTTTAGATAATAAACAGCTGTTATTTTATTTTCATGGTTGCTTCTGAGGACACAAGTTTAAAAAAAGGAGCATTGGAGCAGCACAACTTTGGAGTCTCTCGGGTCTCTTGAATCTCCTTTTAAAAAGCAAGATGAATATTATCAATGGAGTTCAGATTTTTGTAATGACTTTGTGCTATGGCTTCCATTATAGCCTAATATGCAAATGCTTATACTTGAGACTTTTGCAGATATGACAAAAAGCTTTATACCATTTGTTTTACTTTAATTTTATATATCAGGTTGCTGTCAGGTTACAGTTATCAGATTGCTGTTAAAAAGTTTGGCCACATGATTAGTAAAATGACAGTAAATCTTCAGAGTTAGGAAAGAGATTTGTACTTGACCCAATTGATAGAGAAACCAGTCTTCCTTGCCTTATTGCCCTCTAGTTATGCTGAGATAACAATTGTCCAAATATCCTCCTAGTTACATTCCCAAGAAGATTGTAGACAATGGCAATTCTGTGACAAGGAGTGCATCACAATTATAGCCACAAGAAGTAAGCATTGAAAGAATTCTGATCGTGTAAGGTAAAGGTAACGGTTTTCCCTGTGCAGTAATGTTCAACTTTAGGGAGTGTGTACTCATCTCCATTTCTTAGTGGAGAGAGCCAGTGTTGTACGAAGACACTTCCGTGGACATGTGGCTAGCATGACTATATGCTGAGTGCAGAGAATGCTGCTATCTTCCCATGAAGTGGTGCCTATATATCTACTTACATTTGCATACTTTTGAACTGGGGCAAACAACAAGCGCTCACTCCATTGTGTGGCACTCAGGTCTCAAAACTGAGCTGTCAGCTTTCCATCCAACAAACTCAGTGTCTTTAACTGCTGAGCTATCACACTCGCATTTGATCATGTAGTTCTACTCATTCAACTAGCTACTAAACTGAATGTCACATTAATTTCTGATATTTCTGCTAGTGAAAAGTATACGATGGCTCACAATTTTGCTTTCTAAGAGCTAACAGGCTGCAGAGTCCTGACAGCCGTATGCAGCTGTTCTATATCACTGAGGAAAACAGCTAGCTAGCTGCTACCTTTGATAGGGCTGTAGTGTTCAGAAACCCTATGGGATACAATCCATGCTGGTAGCATTGAAGATCAAGCCCCCAAACCCATAATATTTAACGCAAATACATGAGATGATGGGGGATGGGTGGATTTTGACCAAATGAATCTCTGTTTTATAAATCAGTGTGTTGAGTTAAGGTCACAGATTCACTTTAGCAAGAGTCACATTTTGCCTCTTTCAGACATCTGATGCTTTGGTTTTGTTCTATCAACAGACATTTGTGAGCAATGCAGATGACAATGCTTCGATGGTTCAACTGATCGTTAAAATTGCTAAGGCAGAACTATTAGCTCCAGAAAGGTCCTGCTCCTCCCTCCCTCAACGCTCTTTTTGCCAATTCAGATTATGCTGTGCATCATGATACAACATAATGAAGTACAAGGAATAGGCACGGCTTCTCTTTAGTTGATGTCACATTATTGTAACTTATAAATCTGTACTATATGCACACTAGGGAGGGAGGCTGGAAGAGTCTAATTAACAACAATCAGAATGCAAAAGCCAGACTTTTCCTAAAGGAAATTCAAAACATTTATTCTAGATGACTCTAGTCATCAGTTAAAGGCAATAAATACAGACTGGATTTTGTAGTGTACAGAGTAAAATGTTCATTTATTCATAATATCACTGGTTATGATCTGACATTACCAAAAGGGATGTTGCAACACAATATCTGAGTTATGGAGGGCTAATAATATTTTTTTTCATTCCTGGCTGAAAGAGAGCTGGCTTCATTAATCAGTCTTGGAGATCAAAGAAAGTAAAATGCTAGATGGGGTCCTAAAGAGTGTGGAAGGCCTATGCTCCACCAGAAAATGAATGATCAGTTCATGGTGCAAGAATGGAAGAACTTTGGTAAGATGCTTGAATTCATTATAGTTCTTACAGACAGCCACGTTCCTCCCTTCCTCCTTATCAGTCCTGTGCTGCATCATAGACCAGATGCAGAGAAAGAAGGCATTCCTAGAGAAAAGCAATGGCAATGTTAAGAACTAAACATGAAAAAAAAGCATGAAGAATGCTAGTATACTGTATGTCAAGAATTTTGCTGACCCAAAACATGTTGACAGCCTGAACAGAACTGTAATCTAGGAGAGCAGACTGGCTGAAGTCAGCTGCAGAACTGCGGCTGGGCCACTATCTTTATTGAAACCACCTGAAGTTAGGAAGTCTACTCTTGTGTGCTTCATAACACAAGGGTGATATGAAGTGTTAAGGGCAATTTTAAAGACAGGAATGATCAAATATTGCCCTTGTGCTAGGCATAATTAAGCTTCCTCTTTAGCATTTTTGTTCTGTCGCAACCGATTGGTGATTTTTATCTCTCCAGAAACACCCCTTTTCCCAATCCAAATGTTCCCCTCCTTGCCATCACTTATATTAATACAAACTGGGAGGTTAATCATCCTGTCATTATTGCTTATTGTTTATTACATTAAGGCAAACAAAAGATCAATAGTCTCTTTTAAACTTCTTTAATTACCTTGCCTATTTCTTTTGTGATTGACTATTACTTTTTCAGATGGATATTTTTTATTTCTAGTTACAATGAAAAGAAAACCATCTTGATTTAAAAACAACAAAAAATATTTTTCAAGTGGAGGCCAACTGCCTTAGATTGAGCTGCCACACTCAGCCCTGGGATTACTGTGTAACATTAGGGCAAAATAACATCAACTTGTAGTCAGTTTTCTTTCCTATCAACTTGAGAACCTGCCCACAAGAGATCACAATGTTCTCTTTTTGTCCACCAATGATGAGGAAGATCGGAGGATGTTCTGACACCTCATAAGCATGGCTTCCTTTAATAGGTTACAAGGTATTCTATAAAACATTGCCATGTACCGTACAAGAAGAAAGATTTGCTTGGATTTGCAAGAAGTGCATCTATGCCAACTTCCTCCAGCATGTTTTACAACTGACCTGCAAAGAATGCGTGTCACTGAATAGGATATACAGCCCTGGAGAATATAAAATATAGCTATGTTGTTTAATAATCTCTCATCGGCAAGATTCACAAGGCAAAGTGAAGGTGATCTTACTGAGATAAACTCCATCTAGCGTGTTAGAAAGAACAGCTTTGCTACTTTCACCAGTGGAATATTCTTATAAATTCACCCAGTTTGTCAAAATGGTGCACAAGGAGTCATTTAATGTACTGACAACAGCAGAGTGGAAATTCTTCAGCCTTTGGCCACACGCTAAGCAAACACTCTGGATAGCTTCACAGTCAGATTAAAATGCCAGAGCGATCACCGATGGTGCAATTGAAATGTGCTCACTAATTTATTAAGTTTATTCTCAGCAAGCTTGGAGACATCAAAAAGATGAATTTCTAAATGACACCGGTAAGAAGATGTGGCTATACATAATTTCAAATCAGGTTAGATTTGCAAGAAAATTGTTACTAAGATGATGTCAAAACAATTATTGTGAAATTAGAAAGCAATCTAAAAGATCTTCCAGATGCGTTTAACAGCGGACACAATTACACACAACTGTGTGACACAGTCTAGGAGTCCTGGTATGCCTTGTTTTGCAATACCCATTCCATTCCAGATTTATAATCAAGGTGGTTTTTTTTTACTTGGTAATTGACAATTATGGAAACTTACAAATTTAAATGGAACTTGCATACCAAGCACTTAGACACCATCAATATTATATTATATACTCATCTTTGCATTCCCATGTACAAGGCAGTAATTATCTAGCCTGCTTTGACATCATGGAATATTTATTAATTAATGCATTTCTCAGATACAGATTGTTACTGAAACAGTCCTATTTATATCTCAATTTGCTGTACATAAATATCTACCCATTGTATCCTGCTTATGACATGGAACAATTACTTACCCGAAGTAGAAGGAAGTTGCATTTTAGAGATATTAGAATAAATAAATTAGTTGGTTGTGAATAGACGTTTTACTGTTCCATAAAGAGAATTCTGGCAGTACTCATACTCCTTACCAGGCTAAGAGGGTAAAGATTGTATACTGCATGTAAGGGTCTATAAATGCATTTGTAAACAGGAAAACAACAGTAACAAGTATCATCAATAAATAGAAAAAAGGGACAAAATCTAGCTTCAACAAATGCAAAAGCCAATAACTAGGGGAAAAAACCCTAATAAGCACCTTAAATGAACGTTTCATAAAAACCAGTCGAAGGCTAGTAAGATCACAACAAGAAAATCCTCCTAGTTTAGTACAATTCCCAAAGATTGTCCATAAAAAATATCACCCCATAAATATCAACCTCCCAAATATTTAGAATTTTGATAAAATAGACTCAGATAAATTTGCTGCCAATCATAGCTAGGATAATCTTTATTCATCTATTATCCATCAGTCAGCCAAGACAAAATAATGAAAGCTATCTCCAATTTACTGGGTAATAGCCCTTGTCGTCTCATTCTGATTGCTGTCCAGTTGACCAGAATAATAGAATAACAAAGATGGAAGGGACCTTGGAGGTCTTTTAGTCCAACCCCTTGCTCACGCAGGAAACCCTAAAACATTTCAGAGAAATGGATGTCCAGTCTCTATTTTTTTTAAAAAAAAAATTTGATTTATATGCCGCCCTTCTCCGGAGACTCAGGGCGGCTTACAATGCATTAAGCAATAGCCTTCATACTTTTGTATATTTTTATACAAAGTCAGCTTATTGCCCCCACAAACTGGGTCCTCATTTAACCTACCTTAGAAAGGATGGAAGGCTGAGTCAACCTTGAGCCTGGTAAGATTCGAACCTGCAGTAATTGCAGGCAGCTGTGTTAATAACAGGGTGCTTTAAACCACTGTACTACCAAGGCTCTTGGTATTTCCTATTCCTATTTCTTATATCTCCAATTCCTATTCATTTGTCTGTTTATAAAAGTATTGATTAAAAAAAAAACTCACTGCACACTTACTGGCTAAGTATATAACATGAATGGGGGCCAGAAGAAATGGTATAATGAGGCAGGAAACAATCTCTTAATCAAGAAATCATCCATAAGGAGGTCATAACTCCATCAAGATGGCAGGAGAAACTATTATGTATAAGCAGTCAACAAATCTTTTTGTTACCTAGCTGGGTAGTAAAATGTCTGCAAGAAAACCATCAGGCTCAGAAAGCAGCAAAAATCCAAGTGAGGTGATATGGCTAGAATTGCTTAATTGTTATGTTCATTTTAACTGGCTGCATTTGGTCCTGGAAGGAAGAAAGAAACATACATAAGCTACTCTGTCTATATACACATAGTCCTTGATTTACAACAGTTTGTTTAGTAACTGTTCAAAGTTACAATGGTACTGAAAAAAGTGACTTATGACTATTTTTCACACTTACGACCATTGCAGCATCGCCATGGTCAGGTGATCAAAATTCAGATACTTGGCAACTGACTCCTATTTACGATGGTTACATTGTCCCACATCATATGATCACCTTTTGCAACCTTCTGACAAGCAAAGTCAATGGAAAAGCCATAGTCACTTAACAGCCATGTTACGAAACAACTGCAGTGATTCACTTAACAAATGTGACAAGAAAGTCTTAAATGGGACAAAATTGTTGCCTCGCATGAACAGAAATGTTTGGCTCCATTGTGGTTGTAAGTCGAGGACTACCTAATATGATGAGCTCAAAGTTGAAGAAGTAAATGTATTTAAGGGCACTACCCCATAACTGCTGTTGCTTCTGATTTGAAAGTCATGCTAACTTTCACTGTGGTATGCAAATACTTAACATGCCAAGCGATGTGTGATACTTATTCCAAAGAATCTGAGGTCATTGGGGAATGACATTAACACTGTGAAATGTATTTTGTTTCAGCGCAGTCCCACTTTCATGTTGTGAGAGTTGTGTGAAAGCTTTTTCCATTTTTTCCCCCTGCTCATCTTCTTTGCTGCTGAGATATGAAGTTTTGGTAAACCACATGCTTCCACCCATTTCGGATCCCACTGAAAGCCAAGATTTCTGCATGCACCTGACAAGCAACAGGGTTTTTCTTTGTGCAGCAGATTTCTCCAATCTGGTGCTCCCCAGATAGGTTGGATTAAAACTGTCATTGTGTTTATTGTTCTATAGGCAATGGATCACTCAACCCTCCAACAGTAGAGCAAACTAAGTAGGGCTAATCCCTCGCAGGAAACAGGAACATTTTGCTGCTCAAGATAAGCTTGTATATACAGTTTTAAATAAGGCAACAAGACAATATATTTTTGTCCTTGGTTGCCAGATAAATCATCAAAAGACACAGAACTTCACCAGGCACAAGGAAATGCAGTAGCCCCACATGAACCAGTAGTACATAAACTGTAGTACCTATTGCAAAAGTGAGAGGAAGTAAGGGGGATGATGAGTAAACCTACCCTTGATGCTGCTGCACACTTCCCCATTTTTAGTGGCAATAACCCTGAGTTACTCCTGTCTATGGAGATACTCAGTCCTCCAGCTCATGGTTGTCCCAAAGGTGCTTTTTCCAAAGGCAACTGGACTTTCTTTGCTTTTCCTTGAAGACATTTTGCTTCTCATTCAAGAACCGCTTCTGCTTCTGACCAGAACAGAAGAAGCTTCTTGAATGAGAAGTGAAACATCTTTAAGGAAAAACAAAGTGTCAGGTTTCAATGCTATCTCAAAATAAATGAATTTCCAAACTGCCGATCTTTATGGAAATTTTCTCTTTATTCGAGCACAGCAATCTGATCCTGGCTCTTTCATGATCAGTACTGACCTTTGTCCCCCAATCCCTCCCTTTCCAATCCTCAATTCTCTGCTTCTTATTTGCTATCTTCCAAGTCACTTTCCTGATCCCTTCTTCGTCAGATCACAGGAATGTCTCCCCCCTCTCCCATCTCCGAGGAGACAGAATCTTCAAAGGGATTTAGTAGGCAAAAGTTCAAGCTTCTCCCCTCATTATTATATGTCAGTGCTGGGACGCTGACACAAAGTCTAGTTGCCTTTTGAAAAAGCACCTATGGGACAACCTGAGTTACTCAAGATTTTTTTTTTTTTAAATTGTTTCTTCTCTGGGTGTGGGCTGGGAAGGAAGATATAAGGAGGTAGCTTTCTTACTTCTTTTGCAGGGGCTGGCAACATTCTGAATTCATTGGAGAGTATGTGGTGCCAGAGTATGCCAATAAGCCAAGGGCTTATGCAAGCAGCTAGATGGGTCAACCATGTTGTGTAAACATAAGCAATGACAGCAGATTGCCCAAAAGCCCACATAAAAGTTGGATCACATTCTACCTAAACTGTCACAATTTTTTTCCTTTAAAGGTATCATAGGAATTTCTATGATGGCAAGCAAAACAAGGTTTTGATCTGCGATCTCTGATTCTAGTATGAAAAATTCTAGAAGGATTGACTCCAAAGAGCTGCTCCAGTCTGATTGCTGCAGTTATATAGGAGCCCTGGTGGCACAGTAGTTAGAATGCAGTACTACAGACTAACTGCCCACAGCCTGATCCTTACTGGCTCAAGGTTGACTCAGCCTTCCATCCTTCCAAGTTCAGTAAAATGGGAACCCAGATTGTTGGGGGCAATATGCTGACATTTGTAAACTGCTTAGACAGTGCTGTAAAGCACTAGGAAACTGTACACAAGACTAAGTACTATTGATATATCTAACTTGTTGCAAACATGATGACTGGTGTATTCCAGAGGTTGGTTTCAGCAGGTTCTGACCAGTTCTGGAGAACCGGTAGTGGAAATTTTGAGTAGTTCAGAGGACCGGTAGTAAAAATTCTGACTGGCCCCACCACCATCTATTCTCTGCCTCCCGAGTCCCAGCTGATCAGGAGGAAATGGGGATTTTGCAATGACCTTCCCCTGGAGTGGGGTGGGAATGGAGAGTTTACAGTATTCTTCCCCTGCCACACTCACAGAACCGGTAGTAAAAAATTTTGAAACCCACCACTGGTGTATTCCTGCCCCAAGGTCCAGTATTAGGCTGAGAGTCCAGACAGCAAGATTCTATGTTTTAAAAACTTTCTGTCAACTTTTCTGCCTTTCCAATTCTTTTTATCTAATCAAGCTATTTTTATTTTGGGATGTGTACATAGATCTGAGGTGAGGATAATAAGATACATCTTGGTTAAATAGAGAAACTTGGGAAAGAACAGTGTGACCCTTAACCAATGATTTCCCGTCATTTTAAACAAAGCTGCCAGTTGAGATATCTTGATGGAAACATGAATGGAGCAGATTTTCATTTCTTCTGCTGAATAAAGTTTTTTTAACATAAGGATGAGAATTGCTATAATGACATGGATGGTCTATAATCTGCTTTGGCCAACTTTGCAGAAACTTTATAATAAAGAAACATTCTTGCTATAAGCAAATGAGCAATTGTGCAAATGTCTTTAAAATGTGCTTCACAGCCTGTGGGAGAATGTAGAAAGACCCTCTCTCTGAATCAGGAAAGCAACTTGCAAGCCTGGAAAAAGATTAGCTATGCAGGTGCATTCATGAAGAGACAGCCACAAGCAACTTCCAAGCAACTTAAAAAGAAGACACAACTGCTCTGACGATTCAAAGAGCTTCTCTGTACACATTCCTGCATGTTGTGAAAAGCCTTTGAACAGTCCGAATGAAGAAGCATCCAGACAAATCTATTCAATGTAGCTCATCAAAAACTGCATATGATAACGTGAACAGGCTTGCATTGTGGAATGTTTGGTGAATATGGAATCAAAGTTTGGTTACCAAGTATATCTAAAGTAAGGCACATAGGAGAATAGATTGAATACTGAACATTTAGTTTCATGGAGACTAAAACTTATGAAGAACAGTTGCACTATTTGGATTTGGCTACTCTAGAGAAAAGAAGGACTAGGGGTGATAACAGTGTTGCAGTATTAGAGGGGATGCCATAAAGAAGAGGGGGTCATCTTATTTTCCAAAAAAAAACCCAGAGGGTAGGACAAGAAACAATGGATGGAAACTAATCAAGGAGAGAAGCAACCTAGAATTAAGGAGAAACTTCCTAACAGTGACAACAATTAACCAGTGGAACAGTTTGCCTTCAGAAGTTGTCATGCTCCATCACTGGAGGTTTTTAAGAGGCCGGATAACCATTTGTGTGAAACAGTATAGGGTCTCCTGCTTGAGCAAGGGGTTGGATTAGAACAGGGGTGTCAAACCTGATCGCATTGCGAGCTGTATTGTGATATATCAGTATTCTTTTTGCCCTTGCGGGCAGGCTGCCGAAAGGATTATGTGCTGGAACAAGACTAATATCCCCCCTCCCATGCATGTGCGTGTAGCCCCCTGCATGTGCCCCGCACATGCATGGCAGAGAGACCTGAAGACAATTTCCACACAAATTAAGTGTGTGATAATATTTTCCCCTTCATGGGCCCCCTTTGAGCTCCATGGGCCCCGGAACAATGTACTGGCTGAACCCCCTCTCCTCAGGCCTGTTTGCAGAGGTGAGCATGGCCTGTGTGGGCTGCATCTTTGATATGCCTGACAGATCTCCAATATCCCTTCCAGTTCTCTTCTATTCTGAATTCTAGTTTTTAGTTTAGTTTTAATTAGTTTATATTCATCGGGAAATAAGAAAATGACGTGTAATGTCCTTTTGCTTGTTTCATAATATTTTAGATAAATGTGCAAGGAATGCTGTAAGAAGTATGTGGATTAAAAATATAAATATACTATGTACTTTTGTATGCAGATGGCGTCACATTGTGAAATCCAGAATAATCTGCAGCAAATGTCAGATACATTGTAAGATGCAACAAAGAGAATGAATCTGAAAATAAATACATCAAAGACCAAGGTAGTTGTGCTTGACATGGAAAATGGAATAAACAATCCCAAGTTGACCATAAATGGTGAAAAACTAGAGCAAGTAGATGAATTTGTGTAACTTGATAAAATGTTTCCTAAAGAACAGAAAATGGATGGAGAATTTTTAAGAAGTGCAAATGCCACAAGAAAGATAGATAGTAGCATTCATTCCTATAGTGAGGAATGAATGTTTGTCAAAAAAAAAGAAAGAAAGAAAAGAAACCTGTTTATAAAACCATGTATAAGAGAAGATTTCAACACTGAAAGGATGGTTTCCACATCCTTCTGAAAAGAGAATTCAAGAGAAGTCTGGTCTGCCTTCTCAAAGAATTAGGGTTTTCCTCATTATGTCAAAAGCATAGAAGGAAGAAGGAGGAAAGGCAAATCTTCAAATTATCTATAAATCAGTTCTG